TACGTCCCTTTGTTTTAAAATTTCCATTTCCACTACTGAGGAAATAAGATTAACATATATACAAAACGATTTTACCAATTTTTGTATTTATTACTGAAACTCTATGGGTCAAATTATATTTCCAGCTGACAATGACAAGTTGCACATTTCCAAATCAATGATTTTAGAAAAAAAATTCTTATCAACAAAATAATTATAAAACAGTTGTTCAAAGTGCTTGGGTCATAAAAAAACTTAACAAGTGATCAGATGATAAAAATCTTAACAAGAAAAGGAGTGTCTGTTTGCAGATATTCATTGATGGTCTTTTTTATATATTAGATTGTGCATGTTTCAGGAATTTTGATTGGTTAAAGATTTTGTAAGGTTATCTTTTATATAACATTTTATTTCAAGAATTACACTCATTCACATTGGATAAAACAAGAAAATGCCGAGGTCATAGACTCTGCAAACTGTGATAAAATCTTTGCAACCAGAACAGAGCCAGGCCAGTGTTCACATCCTTGCAGTCAAACCACGCTCTATGCTGTTGGTAGCTCAGTCTTTATATTTAAGTATTGAAATCTCTTAAATTTTGAATGAACTGTTTCAAATTCAAAGCTGGACAAGTTCATTTAAGAAAATCAGTAGATTAAGTATCATGACCTTTTGTACTTGTCATTGAAATTCATAGTGTTAGTGACTCCATGTAGAAGGTAAAGCATGTAAGGCTTAAAGAAGGAATCCATATGATATTAGTAAAAAAATTAGCAGCACATGTAGAACTACCACTTGCCATTACAATAGATGAAGACACTTAAATTACTTTATAGCCTCTAGTCAAATGGAACCAGACTGCATCAGACCTTAACCTTTTACCCCATGAGCATTTTGCGAAAAATGGCCGTTTTCATTGAAAAGCCTCCTGTAACAAGTTCAAACTGCTATGAAACTATGAAAAATACTTCAATACTAATGAAACTTGGCACAAATGTTGACTACACCATAGCCTCTGTAACAGCATGCTCAATGGTAAAATTTCCTGTTACCATGGCAACGGGGGGACGTCTCAAAATTGCCAAAAATCACTATTTTGCATTGTTTTTTTCCATCAAAACCGATTTCAAAGTGCGACAACTTCTCAATGAATTGAGATAGAGTAAAAGGCTTTTCAGCGTCCGTTACTAGTGACCCTTAGATTGACCTGAGGCCATTTTTAGCCTGTCACATGTCCAAAATTTTCTTGGCGATGAGGGGGACTCCGCCCCCCTTCAAACCCCCCAAACAGAAGGGGGCACATCCCCCTTCTGGCAACCCCCTGATGATATATTTGGATAGGGGACGGCAACGAAAAAGTGGTCACTTTTTTTAACAACATTTCTCACTCGGAAAACAGTGTTTGGGGCCTAAATAGGGCATTTTTTCACTGTTTGAGGCCTCAAAAGGGGGGGGGGGGGCAAAAAGCCGTCGAAACACGCTTATATAAGGGAAAAGGTTAATAAGGTAAATGATACTAGAACTGCCATTGTCATGGCGTGAATACCCACGCATACCACTTTGTCAGAATCAACAGTGGTCATTTAGAACTCAAGGACAACTACCTTGCCAAATCTGAGGTTACTAAGCCAGTGCATTGCTAAGATATTTCTTCTCCATGCTTCAAATGTGAAAATTTTAAAATCAAGTTTTTTTGTCAAGGCCCCTGTGACCTTGACCTTTGACCCAGTGACCTCAAAATCAATAGGGGTCATTTACTTATCATGACTAACCTCCATGCCAAATATGAAGACTGTGGGTCAAAGGAATCTCAAGTTATTGGGCAGACAAGCTTTTTGTAAGTCAAGGCCCCTGTGACCTTGAACTTTGACCAAGTGACCTAAAAATCAATAGAGGTCATCTACTTATCATGACTTACCTCCATGCCAAATATGAAGACTGTGGGTCAAAGGAATCACAAATTATTGGGCGGACAAGCTTTTTTTAGTCAAGGCCCCTGTGACCTTGACCTTTGACCTAGTGACCTCAAAATCAATAGGGGTCATCTACTAATCATGACTAACCTTTATGCCAAATATGAAGACTGTGGGCCAAAGGAATCTCAAGTTATTGGGCGGACAAGCTTTTTAAAGTCAAGGCCCCTGTGACCTTGACCTTTGACCCAGTGACCTCAAAATCAATAGGGGTCATCTACTAATCATGACTCCATGCCAAATATAAAGACTGTGGGCCAAAGGAATCTCAAGTTATTGGGGGGACAAGCTTTTTAAAGTTAAGGCCCCTGTGACCTTGACCGTTGACCCAGTGACCTCAAAATCAATAGGGGTCATATACAAATCATGACTAACCTCCATTCTAAATATGAAGACTGTGGGTCAAAGGAATCTCAAGTTATTGGGCGGACAAGCTTTTTTTAGTCAAGACCCCTGTGATCTTGACCTTTGACCCAGTGACCTCAAAATCAATAGGAGTCATCTACTAATCATGACAAACCTCCATGCCAAATATGAAGACTGTGGGTCAAAGGAATCTCAAGTTATTGGGCGGACAAGGTTTTTTTAGTCAAGGCCCCTGTGACCTTGACCTTTGACCCAGCAACCTTCAAATCAATAAGGGTCATCTACTAATCATGACTAACCTCCATGGCAAATATCAAAACTGTGGGCCAAAGATACCTTAAGTTATATGGCGGACAAGCTTTTTAAAGTCAAGGCTCCTCTGACCTTGACCTTTGACCCAGTGACCCCAAAATCAAAAGGGGTCTTCTAATAATCATGACTAACCTCCATGCCAAATATGAAGACTGTGGGCCAAAGGAATCTCAAGTAATTGGGCAGACAAGTTTTTTAAAGACAAGGCCCCTGTGACCTTGACCTTTGACCCAGTGACCCCAAAATCAATAGGGGTCATCTACTAATCATGACTAACCTCCATGCAATATGAAGACTGTGGGCCAAAGGAATCTCAAGTTATTGGGCAGACAAGGAAAAACCGATGGACGGACAAGCTGATTCCAGTATACCCCCCTTACAACTTGTTGCAAAAGTGGTTTTAAATCAATCAGTATTTCAAAGAATTGTTCTGTAAAGACATGGATACAAGAACTGATCTTCAACAACGCTACCAAATAGCTTTTTCAAGGGTAAAAATTCAACGTCTCAGATAGCATTTCATTTCAACACACTACAGCAGCACATCACCTTATACTATTAGCCACAGACAGCCAAGAAACATTGCAAAGTAATCCAGTAACAGGTACACAAGTCATTTCTTAAGTTATTTTATTTACTGTAAAAGGGTGCCATGGCCTCTTATTCTTTTGAAATGGAATGAATTAAGGAAACTGTAATAGTCAATAGGTTGTGTTTACTGCAAGATAGCCACTGAAAAACATTTTCAGGAGCTTTCATACAGACATATTGGCAAAATTAAAACTGTTCAATAGAATTTCCTTAAACTTGGCATGTTGTTGGGGGTATAAAAGCAAAAACTTCAAGAGTTTTGTTTTTATTTGTCTGATTACAAGAAAAATATAATAATAAACATACATGCATATACATACAAATTCAGGGCTAGCCCTTTGCGATGATGCCCCTAATACTGGTCACATGATTACAACTACCTTCACCTCAATCCAGTGCACGCAAGAATTATAAACCCCATAATTATAGAAAAATATAAAAAACTATTTCTAGCCCTGATGATCTTGACCTCAGTTACTTTATATTACATATTACTGCAGAGATAAATAGATATCTGACAAATTAACCAAGATATCTGCCAATAATTCATATACATGTACTTTGCTGGTACATACTGGACAATGTCAAACTCCAAATACTTAAACATGTCAAACCTTCCAGTTTTTCAGAAGTACTTCTTCAAAACTCTATTATGGATTTGGCAAGTTCTGTAAAGTGACATTTTTGTATATACAGTCACTCTGCATGCATTTGACATTAAAACAGACACTGGTAAAAATGTAATATTCCAAGTGGAAAACTAGAATTCCGCGAGTCGGACGTGTTGCCTTGTGAACAATATAGTTTAGGAGAAATGGCCAGGACAAAAATGAAATATGAAAATTAACAAAGGGCAATAACTCAAAAAATAATAAGTGCAAAGCAGCAGTTTCTGTGCACTGCACTTCTTATCAATAAGATCTATCATTCTATGAAGTTTCAAGTCCATACCTTTCATTATTTATGAGAAATGGCCTGGACAAAAATAAAGTATGAAAATTAATAAAGGGCAATAACTCAAAAATAAGAAAAGCAGAGTACCGGTTCTTGTACACTGCACTTTTTCTTAATGAGATCTATCATCCTATGAAGTTTCATGTCCATAGCTTTCATACTTGAGAAGAAATGACCTTGACAAAAATAAAGTATAAACATTAACAAAGGGCAATAAATAAAAAAATTAGAAATGCAGAGTACCGGTTCTTGTGCACTGCACTTCTTCTTAATAAATCTATCATCCTATGAAGTTTCAAGTCCATAGCTTTTATAATTGAAGAGAAATGGCCCTGACAAAATTAAAGTATATAAATTTACAAAGGTCAATAACTCAAAAATTAAGAAGTGCAGAGTTTCGGTCCTTGTGCACTGCACTTTGGGTTATTGAAAGAAGCATGCATACCAAGATTGGAGTTAAACTGACTTATAGTGACTAAGTTATGCTCCGGACAAGCTTTAGGGGACGCCGACAATGACAACACCATCGACAAAAGTAAACCCTATATGTCACCTTTTCAAGGCGACACAAAAAACATGTCAATCATGAAAAATGTGTAGAAATAAGCAGAAGAAATCACATATATAGTTTTGATTGAAACATTTGCCTTACTTCTTTTAGTGCTTCCAACATAATACAATGTAATTTGTTTTCTGTAAACATATACATTTGAACTATTAATCGTCAACTGCAATAGTTTAATATTCAGTTTTTGTAATGTACTTAAAAATACATGTACACAACTTTCATGTTTATTGCTGGAATTTTAAAATCACAGTATTGTTCTATTCCAGTGATAAATCATATACTTTTATGAATCCCTCACTCTGACTCACATACAATCTATTTTTGTTCTGGCAGTATGCCACACCTACTGGTTTGTCTAGCCCTTGATCATCATCCAGCAGAATCTTGACCTTGGTCAGGTCCGGTGATAATTGATGTATATTGTTTGACATACGTCCACATACAAACATTGCACCACACCTGTCTGCAGTCATCTGACATGGTCCTTCCAGCTCATCATCCTTGTAAATTGCTTTCACTTCACCATTGGAGTTTAGACCTAACACACAGTTCCTTTCATAGTCAGATACATATATGATTGCTTTGCCTGTGTTGAGGGATATAAAACATGGTACATCAAACAGGCCATTCCCACCATGATCTGTACAAAAAATTTTCAGTACTTTACCAGACATGTCAAGTATCTTCAGCATGGCTGGTTTGGTTGAATAAGACACAATAAGGTAATCGTTCTTACAGGCCACCCCACGGCATTTAATTCCTACTTTCACATCTTCTGTGTTTGTCACTATCATAGACTTAGAGAATGTTATCAGTCTTATTATTCCAAGTAGAGGAAGTGTGATAGCAACAGAACAATTGTCAACTTTGGCAACAGCACAAGGTCGGGAGGGCAAGTCTATTCTATCATATGATGAAGCGCTTACTGACAAATCCTTGAAGATAACCATCTCTGTAAAGTGATATCTTGTAATTAGAAGGGTTTTTTCTGAAAATAAGCATAAAGATGAAAATGAGTCACAACTGAATTCGACATCCGAATTATAGTGTGCAATTCTTTCCACTTCAGATTTTTGTATTTCTTGAAAAGTGAAAAACTGGCCAGCATCTTCAATATTAGAGACTGTTAGATATTGCTTATTAGCTTTTCTTTGAACTCTGTAATGATGAATCTTATTGGTTGTGCATAAGTTGTTTGCATTAGCCTCCAAACGTTTCAAGCTTTTTTGACCTTTCTTGAGTGATACGAACAGGCTACATCTTTGACTGGCATTTTGATAGCTAGCCATTCTTGATGAAATCATTTTCACGCCTTCTTTGATTTTTGAGGTTTCTTTTGAAATATTCTGTATATTTATCTGATCACCACTTTTAGCTGTGTCTATCTTCTCCTTAATTTCAGTAACCTCTTCTTCAAGTGTCTCTTCTAGCTTCTTGTATTTATGCCCAAACAACTCAATAAGTATCATCCTTTTTTCTGACAGCCTTCGTATGGTTTCTCCCATTTTCTTTTCAAAGTCGTCAACAACTTCTTTTTGATATTCTTTAAATGTTGACAATATTTCTTCTTTCTTTTCCATAACTGTATTTAATGCCTTTGATTGTAAGGAATTTATCTCCCTTAAGTTTGTGTTAACTTGCACTTCTGTATTTTCCATACTTTTCAAAAATTCTTCAAGATCTTCAGAGAATACTTTGACTTCTTTGCTATTTTCAATCCCTTGAACAAAGCTTGGCAAATGCTTGACAGCTTCACAGTTCTCATGAACTTCTTTCTTACATTCAATACAGGCAATTTTTTCACAAACTTGACAGTAAAACTTGATCAATTCATCTTGATGAACAGAACATTTTTCAAAACAGAAATCTTGTGGCATGTTATCCTTATCCTTGATGGTATGGGAAAGCATATATCTTTCATGAAACTTAATACATGTTCCGCACAAGTACACCAAACAATATTCACAAAATCCCTCAGCAGGAACATGTTTCTTGTCATGTGTATTACAATGTTCACAAAACATTTCCTGAGCTTCATCAGAGCCCTCTGGTAATGAAACACTTAACATCGCAAATGCCATATTTTTATATTGCAAAAACAAATTGCCTGTTACTGGTAAACTTCAACAAATAGAGACTGATGCTTGGTCAGAAAAATTGCACTTATCATTCTGGATAATATAACTGATTATTTTGAAAGTAGAACACTGCATGATCATCACATGATGGGATAAAATGCTTACACTGCAAACATAGAACTGCAATCAAATCAGGTCATTCTAATAATCTGATTACAACACATGGATCAACATAATTATCTAATCTATCTCTTGCCTCAGTAACAAGAAAAGGAGATAAAATAAAGCTATCTTTATCCATTGAGAAATATTATCATTTCATATAGATCATGTATAACCTTTTAAAATAGCTTCCTAAAATCAGAATCCCTTTTCTTTTTTTTTCTTTTTTTTTTGACAACTTGGGCAGGATTCAAAAACTCCTGTGAAAGTTGCACTGGGTCTTACAAGCCAAAAGGAAAGATTTTAAGCATTTTGTAATATCTAAAATAAAAGGCAAACTTAAAGAACACGAAGGCTAGAGTTACCATGTCTGTGCAATGAATTCTTCCGCATTGAGATCTGACAATGAAATTCCATAATATCTCAAACACTTTTCAAGAAATGCTCTGGACAAAATATATATGGGATGGGTGATGAGATGCACAGAAAGACGGGTAAAGATTATCATATCCCCAAATACCTTTTCTGAAAGGGATAAAAAGAAATGATCCAAGTTCAACCCATATCTTCATTCACCAGCACTTTAATAGAAGAAGACTATTGTTAATATTGAATAACAGAATGCCTCAAATTTCTCTCTGTGTACCTTCGATTCTATTGAGTATTAAAATATCACTTCAATTTAATAATTAACACTGATGGACTGTTTTGCATGCAGTCTAATTCATACAAATATATTGTTATATCCATTAATCCGAATGATCTACATAACATATATTACATGTACAAAATGAAATATATTGCAAATCAACATATATTACATGTACAAAATGAAATATATTGCAAATCAACATATATTACATGTACAAAATGAAATATATTGCAAATCAACATATATTACATGTACAAAATGAAATATATTGCAAATCAACATATATTACATGTACAAAATGAAATATATTGCAAATCAACATATATTACATGTACAAAATGAAATATATTGCAAATCAACATATATTACATGTACAAAATGAAATATATTGCAAATCAACATATATTACATGTACAAAATGAAATATATTGCAAATCAACATATATTACATGTACAAAATGAAATATATTGCAAATCAACATATATTACATGTACAAAATGAAATATATTGCAAATCAACATATATTACATGTACAAAATGAAATATATTGCAAATCAACATATATTACATGTACAAAATGAAATATATTGCAAATCAACATATATTACATGTACAAAATGAAATATATTGCAAATCAACATATTAATGAAACATTAGAATGAATGAATGAATGAATGAATAGATGGATGAATGAATGAATGCATTAATTAATCAATAGAATGAATGAATGAATGAATGAATCAATCAATCAATCAATTAATCAATAAATAAATGAATGTATCAATCAATGAATCAATCAACATGATAATGTATAAAGAATGAATGCATGTATAATGAATGAATGAATGAATGAATCAATCAATCAACATGTTAATACATGAAGAATGAATGAATTAATGAAAGGTTGAAAGAAAGAATTAAGAAATGTGAATGAATGAATGAATTGAATGAATGAATGAATGAATGAATGAATGAATAAATGAATGAAAGAATGAAAACAAGAGCACCGCTAGGCGGAGCATTATATGCCCGAAAGTGATTTTTTTTTTTAGTAAAGATGAAGAATTTGTAAGACATGGGAATTAAATAAAGTATTAACTCCTTCACAAAACAATCATCCTTTGAAGTTTCAATATCGTGGTCCAAATGGAACTTAAGTTATGCCCCGGAAACTGTTTTCATTTCTAAGGTAATAGTGACCTTGACCTTTGACCTTGTGACCCCAAAATCAATAAAGGTCTTCTACCCAATATGGACAATCATACTATGAAGTTTAAACACAGTGGGCCAAATCAAACTTAAGTTATGTTCCAACAACTGTTTTCAGTTTTAAGGTCATAGTGACCTTGACTTTTGACCTTGTGACCCCAAAATCAATAGGGGTCTTCTACCCAATATGGACAATCATCCTATGACGTTTGAACACTGTGGGCCAAATGGAACTTAAGTAATGCTCCGGAAACTGTTTTCAGTTTTAAGGTCATAGTGACCTTGACCTTTGACCTTGTGACCCCAAAATCAATAGGGGTCTTCTATTCAATATGGACAATCATCCTGTGAAGTTTGAACACTGTGGGCCAAATGGAACTTAAGTTATGCTCCGGAAACTGTTTTCAGTTTTAAGGTAATAGTGACCTTGACCTTTGACCTTGTGACCCCAAAATCAATAGGGGTCTTCTACTCAATATGGACAATCATCCTATGACGTTTGAACACTGTGGGCCAAATGGAACTTAAGTTATGCTCCTGAAACTGTTTTCAGTTTTAAGGTCATGGTGACCTTGACCTTTGACCTTGTGACCCCAAAATCAATAGGGGTCTTCTACCCAATATGGACAATCATCCTGTGAAGTTTGAACACTGTGGGCCAAATGGAACTTAAGTTATGCTCCGGAAACTGTTTTCAGTAATAAGGTCATAGTGACCTTGACCTTTGACCTTGTGACCCCAAAATCAATAGGGGTCTTCTACCCAATATGGACAATCATCCTATGAAGTTTGAACACTATGGGCCAAATGGAACTTAAGTTATGCTCCGGAAACGAAATTGCTAACGGACGGACGGACGGACGGACGCCAGGGGGTATAACATAATATGCCCGAAATTCTTTCGGGCATATAAAAAGGATTAAGAAATCAACAAGCTAATGAATTCATAAATGTAATGAAATGTATACCGTATGTATAGTCATTTTTATATCAATATTTACAAAAGTTGAAGTATCTTAAATGATAACAAGATTAACATGTATTGCTAAATATACATGAACCCCTTAATATGATAATCTGACGATAACTTTACAATCATAATCATCTCAAATACAGGAAAATATCTGTCAAATATTCATCACAAAATGTATCATGCAGCACAATTTAAAAAGAAGAATTGTCAGGGGACAGTGTAAAGTAGAAAAAGGTCCATAATTCTGAGGGGAAAAAAGGGAGATAATTTGGCAGAAAATACCATAAGGCTTATCTGCACTTTATGTGTGCATTTTTGTTTTGAAATTGAACAAGTATTAAAGTTTAAAGTGAATATCATTGATAGATAATGAGATATTAACCTTAAAGGGAAAGACAAGGTTAGAATAAAAACTTGATTTCAGAATAAGAATACTATAAATAATAAATCTGCAAATTTTCTGCCGGCAAATAATAATATTAAACGAATGATAACAAAATTTAAATCGCTAAATCACCGATTTCTACAAATCAGTAAGCGCGGCCATGTTTGTGTATTGGCCGTGTTAAAACAGGTGCGCGTGATGTCATTTCCCCACATCTTTAGATTTATGATAAATCTAGTTGAATCGAAGGGAAATATTAATATAACAAAGTATATTCAAGACAATATAATTTTTACAGGAGGTGTAGAGGAGATTTTTTATGGTTCAAAATACGTAACCATATCCAAAAAATAAAAAATAATTAAACATAAAGAAACAGAAAAAAATCAACGTCTACCGGTCGCACCACCTCAGGCCAGTGATGCCCGTTACTCCAAACAATGCTATGTTCATTAAAGTCTCACCTTAATGTAATTAAACAATATTTCAGAGATTTAATAAATACACATGTTATTATTTAACAAAGTTTCACAATCAAATAATGCAATTAAAAAAACAAACGCACAAACGAATAATTGGCTGTTAATTATTGAACGGCGATAATTATCATTATTATAAAAATCCTACTAAAACGTGTTCTTAATAGTACATGTAATTAAGTTTTTGCAGTTTGATTCTGACTTTCAAATTAAAAGGTGTGAACATATGTTTTAATTGATGAAGACATTTCAAAATATAAGCAATTCTTTTGAAAAGTAAATTGTTAACATGTCTGTCAACGTATGAAGCTGCGCATCGTTATCGTAGCCTAATATTAACTGCTGGCAAACATTTTCATTGGCTGCCCAAAAATCTAATTTGCATAATTTATTCACACAATTGCTGGTTCTTACTACTTATGTCTAATACTGTACATTGTCCATTTTAATTGTTCCTAATTTGCACCAAATATTCCTGTCACACTGTGTACTGACGATCTTTATTGCTCCGTGTATGCCTCTGTGCCGACAGACCTTTTGATCATGGACAATGTAGCCCTGATTGGTTAATCACCCTTGTCAAATATTCTAATGACGAAATAGACATCTATTTTTTTACGCTTCATCAGTGAACTGAATGACCTTAGGGGAAATTAAGTAAATTACAGCATGTCATAAAATAGCAACACATTTTTTTTCAGTTACCAATAATCATTTTAGTATTAAGTAGATTTATGTTTTTTGTTTTATTGGATTAATTCTACGGTAGTAGAAATGCGTATCTGTGTGGGAAAGGAATTGGGTAAGTAGATAACGTGGATAAACCGAGAATAACCGTAATTACAGGGGAATGGGCAACCTGTTGCTGTTGGTACCAGTTTTGACTGGGTGCCTAAATAACCTAATGGACAGTTTTGTTTTCATACGATATTAGACTGGCTGCCGATTTTCCTGCGCCATTCTCATTTTTAGCGTCAATGGCTGAAAATCGCGTCCTCAGCAGATCTTTGCATATTGGATTTAGTTGATATTTTACGCTGAAAAAAAGATACATGACCGGCATTGTACCCTATTCGGACAGCTTGTCTAGCGAAAATTAAGTACAAAATAAAAGGATATATCGTCAATTTGAAGAAGTTTCTCATAGTACCCAAATTAAATTGATGGTTTATCTTTGAAAATTAAGCAGTCATTGCTTAAATCATGTGGTGGGATCATCAGCAAGCTTGAAAATCGGACAAATGATCAATTAATGTCGCGGTGTCTTCAGTTAATTAATTAAAGCAATTCAGTTCCATATGATGTTTTCATAAATAATATATAATGTACGCAATAAGATAAATAAGTTCTTCATTCAGATATATTTCAGTTGAACCAGCGTGTACACCTATACCGGAAGTGGGTGTAACACGTCACAATCTCGGTCTCGTCTGTCTCGCGAGAATGACAGAACGCCAAAATGGCGGCACCCATGAACTTATTTCTCAAGTAAAAAATAGTGTCTTAAAACACGAATTTCTCACTTATAGGATTGATGTCAACAGAAAAACTGTCATGGTACCTCTTTTTAAATGATGAATATTTATATTAGACAGACATCAATCCATCCATTCCTATTCCTTTAACAAAAAGGCAAAATTATCAAATTCAAAAAAGGGGATAACTGCAAAATATTATATAATGACTATCCACCCTTGTGATATGGAATTACATATTGATAATGAAAAAGTAAATCAAGTTTTCTAGTTTCTAAGAAAATATAACCCTTTACAGTTTAGAAGTTTAGAAAGACCTTGACCTTTGATCAAAAATAGATGTGACAGGTAAAACCCTATGTAAAGTTTCAATATTATAGCTAGTAGTAAGTACTGAAGTTAATGACCATAAAGAAACACTTAACCCAAAAAGGTTAACCAATAGAGACACAAATGCCAATAACAATATCTATACCTTTTTTCTTTGAAATATGGAACAAAAAAGGGAAAAAATCAATAAAACAAGCAATTATCATAGTATTGCAAGCAATCCATAAGTCCCCTACCGGTAAGAGCCCAAGCAACATTCTGACGGGCCATTTGCCATTCACTTATGTTCCTATTTTAAGTAAATTTGTTGAAAAAGTTCTTTAAAAGTGATCACAGGAAACAGTTTTTATGTACAGACAGACGGACTGAAGGACACTCTAAAGTTATTTTTTAAACATCCCTGTTATCAAAATATATCATTTTTAAAATCCTATCATGATTGAAGAAGTTGGAGTAAAAATTACCAATTTCTCAAAAAAAAATCTAAGTTCAAAAGGGGCATAATTCTGGAAATAGTCTTGCTAGAGTATTGGACCATCACAAATGTTGAGTGATAATAAGAAACATTTATATGAAGTTTGAAGTAGATACATTCAGAAAAAGAAGTTTTTTAAAAAAAAAAACAATGTTTTTTCATGAAAATTTTAAGTTCAAGGGAGGTAATTCTGATAAATTTTGTGCTAGAGTTGGTAAACCTTGTCACATATGATGTGGTTGATTACAAGCAACTTATGTTTAAAGTTTGAAGAAAAATACCTTAAGAAATAAAAGAACTTATAGTGAAAAAACTTAAAAACTAGAATCAGAAATCTTGAAATTCAGTCTATTTGTTGCCATAGCAACCAGAATTTTCAACATAGGAAGATAAGAAAAGGATGTGCATAATTTCCATACTGCCATATACCCATATGTCAAGTTTCATAAACATATTTTCAGTACTTTTTGTGTTATCACTGGATCCAGGTATGTGTAAACTTTGCCATATTTTCAATCTATTTGTTGCCATAGCAACCAGAATTTTCAACATAGGAAGAAAAGAAAAAGACGTGCATAATCTCCATACTGCCATCTATCCATATATCAAGTTTTCATAAAAATATTTTCAGTACTTTTTAAGTTATTGCGGGATCCAGGTTATGTGTAAAATTTGCCATATTTTCAGTCTATTTGTTGCCATAGCAACCAGAATTTTCAACATAGGAAGAAAAGAAAAAGACGTGCATAATCTCCATACTGCCATCTATCCATATATCAAGTTTCATTAAAATATTTTCAGTAGTTTTTGTGTTATCGCGGGATCCAGTTTTGTGGACGGACGGACTGACGGACGGACAGACGGACTGACGGACGGACGGACAGACGGACGGAGGGTAAACCTAAAGTCCCCTCCGGTAAACCGGTAGGGGACTAAAAAAAAACAACAATATTAACATACCAGTTCAGATTCTGTGGATGTTAACAACTCAAACAACACTTGCAAGTTCTCCTTCAACATGAAGTATGTCTTCAGTCTGTTTATAAAAGTAAATCATAAGCATACATATGAAAATATATCTTTAAACAAGAGGGCCATGATGGCCCTGAGGTCGCTCACCTGTATATTGCCCCCCCCCCCCCCGGCCCAATTTTTACCCAAGGGCTTTTATTTGTTTATTTGAACAGACTTGGTAGACACCCATAAGAAGATGTTTCATGCAAAACATCTAAGTTCTAGCTCATTGGGTTTTTTAAAAGAAGATTTTTAAGTTTTTACTATACACATAGAGTAAAAAACAATGACACCCCTCGGGCAGGGCCAGTTTTGACCCCTGGGCTTTTATTTGAACAAACTTTGTAGATATTTACTTAAAGATGTTTCATGCTTAATATCTAAACTCTAGTTATTTGGGTTTTTTTCAAAGAAGATTTTTAAGTTTTTGCTATGTATATAAGGAAAATCAATGACCCCCGGGGCGGGGCCAGTTTTGACCCCAGGGCTTTTATTTGAACATACTTGGTAGACACCCATTAGAACATGTCTCATGCTAAATATCTTAGCTCTAGCTCTTTGGGTTCTTTAAAAGAAGATTTTTATAAGTTTTTACTATATGCATATAAGGAAAATCAATGACCCTGGGGAGGGGCCAATTTGGACCCCAGGGGTTTTATTTGAAAAAACTTGGTAGACATTTACTAGAAGATGTTTCATGCCAAATATATAATCTTTAGCTCTTACAGTTCTTTAAAAGAAGATTTTTTAAGTTTTACTATATGCATATAGGGAAAATCAATGACCCCCTGGGGCGGGGCAATTTTGACCCCAGGGCTTTTTATTTGAACAAACTTGGTAGACATTTACTAGAAGATGTTTTATGCCAAATATCTAAGCTCTAGCTCTTACGGTTCTTTAAAAGAAGATTTTTTAAGTTTAAACTATATGCATATAGGGAAAATCAATTACCCCCCAGGGCGGGGCCAATTTTGACCCCAGGGCTTTTATTTGAACAAACTTGGTAGACATTCACTAGAAGATGTTTCATGCCAAATATCTAAGCTCTAGCTCTTTGGGTTCTTTAAAAGAAGATTTTTTAAGTTTTTACTTTATGCATATAGGGAAAATCAATGACCCCCTGGGGCGGGGCCATTTTGACCCCAGGGCTTTTATTTGAACAAACTTGGTAGACATTTACTAGAAGATGTTTCATGCCAAATATCTAAGCTCTAGCTCTTACAGTTCTTTAAAGGAAGATTTTTTAAGTGTTTACTATATGCATATAGGGAAAATCAATGACCCCCCGGGGCGGGGCCAATTTTGACCCCAGGGCTTTTATTTGAACAAACTTGGTAGACACTCACTAGAAGATGTTCATGCCAAAAATCTTAGCTCTAGCTCTTACAGTTCTTTAAAAGAAGATCTTTTAAGTTTTTACTATATGCATATAGGGAAAATCAATGACCCCCGGGGGCGGGCCAATTTTGACCCCAGGGCTTTTATTTGAACAAACTTGGTAGACACTCATTAGAAGATGTTTCATGCCAAATATCTAAGCTCTAGCTCTTAGGGTTGTTTAAAAGAAGATATTTAAAGATTTTTCTTTCGGTTGCCATGGCAACCAGAGTTCTGCATGGAATTAAATTCTTTGAACAATTTTTAAAGGTGACCACCAAAGGAACATTCCTGTGAAGTTTGGATGAAATTGGCTCAGTGGTTTATGAGGAGATGTCATTTAAAGCAAAAGTTTACGGACGGACGCCGGACGGACGGACGCCGGACGAAAAGCGATCACAAAAGCTCACCCTGTCACTTTGTGACAGGTGAGCTAAAAAAGCAAAACATAACACACAATAAATACTGCCATCAAACTAACAAAAAACAAAAGACAGAAAAACAAAAACTCTTAAAAACCCTATGAAACAAACAAAAACTTAAAGAATCAAAAAAAATATTCCTCTCTTACAAACATATTTCAAATTTTTGTCTTTCTTGATCTTTATTTTTCATAGATGAACACATATTTTTTTCACAAAAATTATAAAGTAGTCATGTTGAAAATATTCTGACATGACAAATGAGATTTTGAATGCAGACATCTGTGAATCAACAAGCAAATCACATTAAATGATTTTTTTTCTTCTTACCACATAAAAAAATGGGTAAAAGAACAAACATTTAGTATTGTCAGATATACCAGAGATGTAGATGTTGTTTATGTCTCTGGATATACTGATAAAAATTCCCCTGTAGGGCCCAAAATTTACCCCCTTCTATCTGAAAGGGTTTTTTTGGAATAAAACCTTTTAAATAGAAAAAAGGGGACGAAAAGAAAAAATTTTAAAAGCAAACCCGGGGAAGAAATAAAAAGATATGGGGGGCTTTTTAAACCCTTGGCCACCCCTTTGTTGGTATTTTAGGAGTTGGAATTCTGTAAAATTAGAAAAAAAAAAGGTTTTTAAAATTTTAAAATTGTGTTTTTTCTTCATTTGGGTTAAATTTCTAATACAAATTAAAAAACCTTTTTAAAAATATTTTCCCAATTAAATACATGAAAAAAAATTTCATTTATTAATTTTGAAAAAACCCAAAAAAACAAACAAACCCAAACATAAAAAAAGGGAAAAAAGGAAAAATTTTCTTTTACAAAAATCCCCCAAATGTTACAATCAAAAAAAAACCCCTTAATTGAAAAATACATAAGGAAAAAAATACTTTTAAATTTTTTATTTATTTTAACCCTTTTTAAAAACAAAAGAAACATAGAAGGGGCCCAAAAAAAATTTTACCTTTTTAAAGGGGAAAATTTTTGTTTGTTTTACTTGGGGCCCCAACCCCTTGAAAAATTTTTCCCAAATTTTCCTAAACTTTCCCCCTAAAAAAATTAAAAAATTGGAAAAATTTAATTAAATTTTCAAGCTATTCATTAGTCCCATTTTTTGGTTTTTTTTTTTTTGTTTTTCCCCCCTTTGCAAAACTCAAAAAAACCCAACTTTCTGTTTAAAAGATTCTTTTGGGGGAATTTTTTGTATGTTTTTTAGTTTTTAAAAAGGGGGAAAAGGGGAACCTTTCCCATTGTCACATTTAAATGCATCCCAAGAGTGGGGGACTTTTTAAAAAAACCATTGAAAACCCTTTAAAGCTTTTTGGGGGGGCTTAAGTTTAAATAGCTCACTTAAAAAAAGGGGCACCAAATTTCCTTTGGGGGTTTCAAACCCTAGTTTTGGGGAGGGGAAAGTTATTCAAAACCGGGGGAAATTTTTAAACCCCTTTTGGACATATTTAAAATTTTTCCTGATTTCCCTTTTTAAACTATGTCAAAGGGGTTTATTAAATGCAAAAAACTTTGGGAAAACAAAATTGGGTAAAGGAAACAGAAATTTTTCCATGCTTTTTTTTTTACCCTTTTTTCCAAAAAAATCTAAATTTGGTCATAAAGGAAAAACAGAGCAACCCTTTTTATCCTTGCAATTCAAACAGAAAGAAATGCTGTCTCAATATGTAATTTACAACAGAGATGTTTGTTTTTGATCGGTTGGCTAGTACTCTAATTACTGTAAAGCCATTAATGATCAGATTCTTATAGACAGTTATATTTAGTGCTGTGCTTTCAATAAGTTGTTTTATCCAAATCCACCAAGTAAATATCACTTTTCTATTGACCTTCAAACATAAACACAGGGAATTTGGTAGTCATATAAAAAAAAAACATAAAACTTACATTTCGCCATGTGAGCACAACTAATATACACTTTAGGTATATCACCGTGACAAGTCTCCCATTTGATACGACCAGTAACTTTACCAGACTTGATATACACTTTACAACAGAACACAGAATTGTGGTGCTTGTATAACATAAACAACACATAACATAAGTTATAAACATACATCCCTGAATATCTTTATAAATACATTAATTCTATAAAGTTTCAAAGGTTGTTATTTTCATTTTTCCCCCTATAATTCCTATCAGTTTATTGATAAAATAATTAGTTTAAAGATATTTAATTAAGCTTGATTGCGAAACAAGTTCTTGCAACTTATATTAATGACTTTTGAAATTAATTAAAGAATTTAACATCTTTCAAAAAATGACTAAAGAAGCCTGATGATATAAAAGAATCTGAAAAAGAACTTAGAAGTTTGTTATTGATTATTCAAATTATAATACCAAGAAGAAATTCAGCTTTTTTCCTAATTTGATAAATAAGTGATACATATAAAAGATTCTAAAATTTCTTAAATGCCAGTACCTGTTCAATGATGATGAAACAATTCCGCATATTTCCTTACAGGTCTTCTTAGCCAGTTCTTCATTCTAGAATATATTTATCACATTAATTGTATTTATAGTTCATGTATGAACCCAACATATGACATGGTACATAGAAATAAATGTTGTGTGACAGACCAAAATGACAATCTCATATTGACCTTTGACCTCTTTTGGTGATCTTGGTTTTTAAACACAGGCATAGCCATTTTTCAAGTATTAAAAATGACCTTTGACTACTTAGTATGACCTTGGCAATACTGACTACATATAAATCTATAAATTTGCTAATGTAACAATCTATTAGAAATGAAACTACAAGATATTTCAAATAATTGCCATAATGCAAATTTATCCATTTTAACTTACTGTTTCCCAGTAGAGAGAGCAGCACAAGTCTGGTATTTTCTCAAGCAGGGAACCATACATCTTCATCCTCAGTCTTGATGGTTTAGGAAACAGTGGCTGAAATTATACCAGATACATTAACGTCGTAGAGTGTTAGATAAAAACTTGCATGCAAAACCAGTCTATACAGTTTAGTCAGACTGGCCCTTCTTTGTGCTGAATTTTAATATTTTGATAAAACTCAGCTAACAAGGCCATTTGGCACAATAACATGGGTTTTCCCTATCTAATCCCAGCGGTACAAACAAACTTTAACCAATATAACTTCATGGCACACTTTTTTATTAAAGATATTTTACCAAGTTGTAACAGTAAGTTTTTTGTTCCATATATGGCTAGATGGGAAAATCACATTTGCCAAGTTACACAGTGTCTTTATTAAAATTTCATTACATATATTCTGGAAGAGAAGAGTTAAACTTACATTTAGTAAGCTACTTTTACCATTCTCAATTGTAAACTTCTTTTCTATCTAAAACTGACTTGATGTAATACTGTGTAAGTCACAGACAGTAGACACAAATTGAAAAAGTTAATGGGAGCAAATTGAGAAATTCCTGTCAATATTTTTCTTAAATAATAAGATTTTAACTTACTTCCATTTCACTGCCCTCATCTAAAACAGCAAGCTGTTGCCATGACAACTCCTGGGCAATATTTAGGTCACATGACCTTGACACTGTTCCTAGCTCTATCACAAACTTGTTTCGTCCTGCGTATCTGGCTGGTTCCTTTCCCTTTACAACAGCATTCAGTACACGAAGGTCAAAGTTAACATAATGGGTCAGGTCCCATAACACATTACCAACAGTTTCCGACCATTCTTCATCTAAAATAGATGTATTAATAGTTAAGAGACAGTTATAATCACTGGCCATTTCTGTGTCAACTTTTACTGGCAGTCTGTCATACATCACTTCAATATGCATACTAAAACCACAAGGCAATCTCTTCCTGTTAGACAGAATTTACTGAATCTACTACAAGAACTTTTTTGCTTGATTTAGCCATCTATTGTACATATATAAACTGACAGCTGTATTTAATGCTATTCAATTATTTTCAGAAAATACAAAATTTCACATTATTTACATCAATAGGAAACCAAAGTGAAGAAAATAACAATAAATGGACAAATGAAAACATGATAATGGCACATGTTAAAACTTTTAAATACCACAGTTAAACGATTTGTATTTTAAATATTCATTTCTCACCACAGTCAATTATAACTAGAGGTATATTATTACTTCTATTTATTATCTTCATAGGACTACATGAGTGAACCAGTTCTTATAAAGTATTCTCAGATACAATCTCGGTAGCTGTAATGTAATTGAATAAAAAATGAAACCAACTATAACCATATAGGTTTGATACCGTACAGTTTACACTCTATAGCTTGTAGCGGTAGTTCATAAAATTTATCCACCGGTAATTCCCGCACCTTATCTTTCGGTACAATGTCACTATCACCATAATCAGCGAAGAATACCTTGAACTGATTGGCCTCAACCTCCAGGATTTGTCCACGATACCATCTGAAACATTAACCACGCTAAATTTGCAAAATAGACTATTCCTCATTTGAATATGGACCTATCAACTGCCAATATGGAGGGTTTTGTTTATACAGTTATCAACAAAAACAAGCAATTATCATAGTATTGCAAGCAATAAGTTTCCATGCCTAGAAAAGAAATTACGTTTATATAACAGATTATCAAAAGATCCAATTTCCTCAGGATGAATAATTACAAGGATAACTAATGTTTCAACTTTTCTCTATATTAAGTGTTTGGAAATGTTCCAATGTCTTTTAAAGTGATCTCAGGATTTTAAATTCAAAGTAAATCAAAGGAGAAATAAAAAATTTAAAGAATGTGTGAGAGAAATTCAAAGTTTGAGGACAAAATTCTGGAAATATGGACGCTAGAATTATAACCCTTGTCATATTATTATGATGTGGGAGTTTGAAGTAAATGCTGTAAGAAATGAGGTTTAAGTAAAAAATAATAATTTGTAGCTCAAGGGGGACATAATTCTGGAAATAGTTAAGCTAGAGTATTGAACCTTTTCCCAAATGACTTGAGTGATAATAAGACACATATATATATATAAAAAGTAGATACAATAAAATATAAAGAAGTTATAAAAAAAGTCATCATTTTTTTCATGAAAATTCTATGTTCAAGGGGGGTAATTCTGATAATTTTTGTGCTAGAGATGTAAACCTTGTCACATATGATGTTGTTGATGATAAGAAACATATATTTGAAGTTTGAAGTAAATACCATAAGAAATAAAGAACTTATAGTGAAAGTGTGTAAAAACTTGAATAAGAAATCTTGACAAGGTTGCCGACGCTTGGTGAAATATACTGCCTATAGTAAAGATAAAAATGATGTGTATAATCTTCATATTGCCAACTATCCATATTTTAAGTTCCATAAAAATGTTTTCACTACTTTTAAGTAATCACAAATATTGTTGCCGTGTTTTAAGCATATTTGTAACCATAGCAACCAAATTTCAAGTTTCATAAAAATATTTCCAGCACTTTTTCCAGTTTATGTGTTTTCAGTCTCTATGTTGCCATATTTACCAGTTTTCAACATAGGAAAACAAAAAGACATGCATAATCTCCAGACTGCAGGTAAATCTAAAATCACCTCCAGTTAAACTGGTAGGGGACTAACAAGAGCTTGTCACATACAATGCAGCAGCTGCCTACAAGTATAATACTGTCTGATCCCCAACCTGGTTCTACAGAATTATGGAAAATGATTTTAAAGAATTTGTCTCAGATTTTTTTTAGTCGGCAAAAATAGGAAGAATTTATGCCCCTGTGTAATTTTTAGAAAATCCACATTAATTTTGAAATAATTATAACTAGAACTGTCACTATCATGGCGTGAATACCCCCGCATACCACTTTGTCAGAATCAACAGTGGCCATTTAGAGCTCAAGGACAACCTCCCTGCCAAATCTGAGGTTACTAAGCCAGTGCATTGCTAAGTTATGTATTCTACATGCTTCAAATGTGAAAATGTCAAAATCAATACATTGCGGACAGGACATTCTTTAGCAATTGAGAAGAAAAGCTTTTTTTTGTCAAAGTCCCTGTGACATTGACCTTTGACCCAGTGACCTCAAAATCAATAGGGGTCACCTTATAGTCATGATCAACATCCATGCCAAATATGAAGACTGTGGGTCAAAGGAATCTAAAGTTATTGGGCAGACAAACTTTTTGAAGTCAAAGTCCCTGTGACCTTGACCTTTGACCTGGTGACCTCAAAATCAATAGGGGTCATCTACTAATCATGACTTACCTCCATTCCAAATATGAAGACTGTGGGTCAAAGGAATCTTAAGTTATTGGGCAGACAAGCTTTTTGAAGTCAAGGCCCCTGTGACCTTGACCTTTGACCTGGTGACCTCAAAATCAATAGGGTCATCTACTAATCATGACTAACCTCCATGCCAAATATGAAGACTGTGGGTCAAAAGAAATCTTTAAGTTATTGGGCGGACAAGCTTTTTGAAGTCAAGGCCCCTGTGACCTTGACCTTCGACCTGGTGACCTAAAAATCAATAGGGGTCATCTACTAATCATGACTAACCTCAATGCCAAATATGAAGACTGTGGGTCAAAGGAATCTTAAGCTATTGGGCGGACAAGCTTTTTTTGAAGTCAAGGCCCCTGTGACCTTGACCTTGACCTGGTGACCTCAAAATCAATAGGGGGTCACCTACTAATCATGACTTACCTCCATGCCAAATATGAAGACTGTAGGTCAAAGGAATGTTAAGTTATTGGCGGACAAGGTTTTTTTGAAGTCAAGGCCCCTGTGACCTTGACCCTTTGACCTAGTGACCTCAAAATCAATAGGGGTCATCTACTAATCATGACTAACCTCCATGCCAAATATGAAGACTAAGGGTCAAAGGAATCTTAAGTTATTGGGCGGACAAGAAAAAACCGACGGACGGCCGGACAAGCTGATTCCAGTATACCCCCCTTACAACTTTGTTGTGCGGGGGTATAATAATTTAAGAGGATCTCACTCATGCATCAATTTTCATTGTTTTCACTATATCAATTCTGTTATCATAGCAACCACATTTCTTGAACAAATTAAAGTAAGTACAATATCTCAATGCAGTCCCCTATAATATAAGTACAATATTTCATCAACCTAGCTTTTGTACTGTTTGAGCTACAACAGGAGCCAGATTTGTTCTGTTGTTTTTTTGTGTGTATAACCTCTATATTATCACCTTAGTGCAGTAATAGGTTAACTCCTTATATAATTCAATAGGAGTTAATGCATAACAGCACTAAAGTGACGATATTGTCCTCTATCAACATACGAAGTATTTTGGGGTTTTTATACTTTTTTTGTGTTATGGCAAGACCAAGATTTTTTAAATCTATGTTATGCTTTAACAATTTTTTGTCGATCTGTAAGAGCAACAAAGAGACCAGTTGAGCAAACCAATGGGCTGTCAACTGTATCTGTAAGCATCCCCTTACACATATAACATACATGTCAACTTACCATTTAAACGGATGTAACAAATCTGAAATTCCTTATACAAATGTACACTTATATCAAAATATGATGATGTAAAATTTTATTAAGATGTAAAATTTTATTAAGTAATCCAAATCACAATAGAAGAGTGCAAAGAAGAGTTTTAATGACAGACAAACACATTTTACGTCACTGTGCTATGAAAAGCATACCTGTGAGATTTCTATGCTGTTATACAAATAAAACACTTTTTAATTGTCAGAAATAAAGTAAATCCCAGCCAAATTATTTGTACTTGCATACTTTATATACTTTTTTGTAATTATTTAGAAGATGTTAAAAAGTTACACATTTTTTTTACACTTACTGAAATCTTTATTGACCTAATATTAGTTACTTTTTAATAATTTAAGACCAGCATCAGCAACTTCAGTGCATACAGCCATTTGATTTTTTTAAAGCAAAACAGAAAACATGCTCTGCCTAGATAGACCTGCTCAATCTTTGGCTTTAGAGTATACCATACCTTTGATCAAAGTTTGTGTACTGTGCAAGACAGTATTTGCCTCGTGTAAGTTCCTGCCCTATATCAACATATATATCATTCTGGTCCACAAACTCATTGATTTCTGTCATTAACTCTTCTAGCCTAAAATATAAGAAATATAACAATATTTTAATAACATTAAATATTCTAGGAATGAAATTTATATATTTTCACATCTTGTTTAATATGATTCACTGTTGGACTATAGATAACTATTAGAATTACATATAATAAGAGTGTAAATGCACCTTATTTCTTGTTCATATACACAAAAAATGCAGAAACCCTATTCTTACATAGATGTATATGTTTGGTTTTGAAAGGTTGTTTTTCCCTTTCCATCGTGGGGAAGATAACATGTATCTTTGGTATATGATAAATGACTATTCTGTTATTATACATGATGATACTGTTATAGTTTAAGTATGAAGAGTTTAACCAACTTACTCTTCCAGTTTTTCTTTACGTTGGACAAAGAAGAGATCAGGAGAGAGGACGGAAGATACATGTACGTCGTGACTTGTTCTTGTGGCACATGCTGGCAGTACATCTTTGTCAGTATG